GGCCCGGCACTCACTCCGGGGATTCGGCTAGCAACCGGCCATGTCCCTCAGGTCCCAGCAACTCGGTGGCAGAATCAGAACTAGTCAGATGATCCTACCCCCCAGACAGTGCCCCTTTCAGCGCGCGCGCGCGTGTGTGTGTAGAGGGGCAGGCGGTGTGGTCTCTGCACACAGGGCTTGGTGGGACTCAGGCGTCTAGTTTGGGGTGTGTGTCTGCCCTACAAGGCAGTGTCATAGACGCACACCCAGGCACCACCCGTGCAGAGACTCGGCACCAGACTCCCGGCGCGTCTGGCCTGGGCCTGTATCAGCAGGTGAGTGGCTTCTGGGGACGTGTGCGAGGCTGTGTTGGGTGGCAGCCCTGCAGCTCCTTCCAGGTGGGTGGGAGCGGGACCCGAGCCCCTGGCCCTGGCTCTAAGCTGGCCCAGTCGGCTTTCACAGCAGGGCACCCACCCTACTCCTGTCCCCAGCTTGGGCTGAAACGGCCTCCATGAACTTCATGCACGCCCACACACCTGCCTTTCCCAAGACGCCATGCAAACGTCCCTTCCTCCAGAAAGCCGTCCCCACCCTCCCCAGATACTCCCCACGGCCCCCGTGCTCCCCTCGCCCACAGCGTTGCTTCCCTTGTACTGACCTCATCATTCACTTCCTTCTGGTCGCCTTCCCCCTTCCCCTACCCAGAGCCGGTACAGGCCAGGCTTAGAATTAGGGAGTTCCCTGGTGGCCTAGTGGTTAGAATTCCAGGCTTTCACCGCCACGGCCCGGGTTCGATCCCTGGTCGGGGAACTGAGAATCCCGCAAGCCACGTGGCATGGCCAAAAACAAGAGGGGGAAAAAAAATTAGAGACTCAGAATGAGTGAGTGAACAAACGAAGCGTGGGGTCCACCCCACAGCCTGGAACTGCACCCAGTGGGCCTCAGACAGAGGCAGGGGTTCAAGTCTCAGCCTGGCCACTGACAAGCCACGTGACCCTGGGCACATAAGGCAGGAGCCCAGAGAACCAAGGGTGCTGACCTTGATCTCGCAATCTAAAATTCAGTTTTAGATTTCAATCTAAAATTGAAAATATTGAATTCCTAATATAATATATGCTTAGCTTTTGGCATGATACTGTTGTGATAGGGGTTTTTTAAGGCCTCATTTTTCTGATAGCTTTTATGTTGCTTTTAAACTTTCTCTAAGAGTTACATATATTCTTTACAGAAAATACAGAGTAACAAGAGAACAATTACCTATAAATTTAATACCCAGACATAAGCACTGTTCATTTTGGTGTATATATTCTCAGTCTTTTTATTTTTTTCTATAAATATATTTGTACACTTAGGGATTACAAAAATAGAATTGTAGTATACTTGCTATTTCATATTCCTGCTTTTTTCACTTAATGAGGTATCATGTAGTGTTCCGTCATATTGATGTCCCATAGTTTAATCAATTCTTTGCAATTAGATTTAGACAGTTTGCTTTTCCCTGTCACAAACAATGTGAATACGTTTTATATACATCTCTGTGTCCATCGGGATTACTTCTGTAGAATAAGGTACTACAAGTGGAATGACTAAGTGTGACATAAAGAGGGACAGGCTGCAGAGCCTTGGGGGAGGGCAAGGATGCCCGTGGGCCAGGATCTGCCCCCCTGCCCCTCCAGCTCAGAGCGAGGGCTGCAGATGGTTCCTGGCTCCTCCAGAAGGGGGAGCCAGAGCCGGGGCTGGCACCAGGCGCCCAGGGTGGGGCGGCCCCGCTGTGGGAAGAGTATGGCCCCGGGCCAGGCGAAGATGGGAAGGGGTAACACCAGCAGCCTTGGGCGCCCGGGGACCGATGTGTGGGGATAAGCAGGACCTGGACTTAGGCCTCAAGGGCTGGTCAGCGGGTGGACTGTGAGGGCAGTGCCCCCTGCTTCCCACGCCACCCACACTTCAGCGGGGGATGGGGGGGGGCGGGTGAGCCTGGCCGCAGGGCCCGGGCGGGGCACGGGCACGAGCGGTGTGTCCAGGGGGCGCCTGAGGGTGGCCGGCCAGGTCACCAAGTGTGGTGTGGGTACTTCAGGAGCCCAGGCTGGGGGCATCACCCACTCCGGACAGGCAGGGGGCAGAGAATGCAGGCCGTGGGGACCCCCAGCTGTTCCCTGCGTGTGAGGCAGGGGGTGAGGGCTGGGGGAGTCTTCGTCTGTGGGGCTCCGCAAAATTTTCGGGGGGAGCAGCCTGGTCCGGGGCGAGCTGTCTGGAGCCTCAAAGCCTAGCTGCCCAGGTGTGGCTGCCCTTGGACTCCCCGAGCCAGGCCACGCTCCAGTCCCCACAGCCCTCCTGTCAGGCCTCTGCCATCGTTTGCTGAGGGACTGAAGGACCTGCCCGCTTGGTCGCAGCTCCAGATGGGCCGAGGAGTCTCAAGCACGAGGTGCTGCTGCCCCCTGGTGGCCGTATCCGGGAGGGCCGTCCGGGCCTGGGAGCGCGGATCCCCCAGCCTGGTTTCGGAGCCTCTCCGGCCAGCTTCATATAGGAGCTTTCTGCCTCTGTCCCATTTGACAGCCTAAAGCCCGGGGGAGCACCTGATTTCCCGTGGGCCACACGGCACACAGAAGCCGAGGCCGGGCTCCTGGTACCCGGGACTCGGAAGCCTGGTTGATAGGGTTGCCACATAAAATACAGCCTGACCAGCTGGCAGGTAGAGTAACCTGACAAACAAGGATGGAGTCTGCACAGATGCAAGGTGACCATCACAGGGGTCACCGTGGGCCGTGGGGAGCACAGGGCTACAGAAGACAGGCCGAGAGAGGCCTGCGTGGGCCAGTGGGCCGCCTGCGAGGCAGCACGAAGGCTGGTCAGCCAGGAGGCTAGAGAGGGCTGTGGAAGGCGTGGACAGTGGTGCCCTGGGTGCGGACGGGTCCAGGTGCAGGCTCAGGCTCTGACCCCGTCCCCGGGGGGACTGCGCCCTGTCAGGGCAGACGGCCCCGCCCGGGCGGGGACGGGGCTGCGGGGCAGAGGTGTGTGTGGGGTGGGGGGGCGGGTGAGTACTCGGCCCCGAAGACTCGGCCGCTTCTTCAGGCAGCCTCAGGAGCTGGGTGGGTGCGAGCCAGCCCTGCAGGGCGGCCCTGGCCAACGCCGCCCTGTCCCCGGCCCAGCCCGCGGGCCCTGGTTCAGCCGCTCGTGCGCGTGGGAGTTACACGACTGAGGACTTTTTCTCTGGGCCTCTCCTTCCTCACCCGGGAGGCATATTCATTTGATTCCTTTAAGATCAGCAATAGACACGTGTAAAAGTGCGTATGAAGTCAGTCTCCACTCCCCTCCTCAGGCCTCCATCCTCCTGCTGCGTTTCTTGTCAGTCCTTTCAGAAGTTTCCACGCGTGTGCAGGTGCACGCGTGCACACCAAGCCTGGCTTGCCTTTTACACACGGGATAGCTCACTGCACGGTGCTCCTCTGCCCCTCTTTCTCCAGCTTGGAGATCGTCCCCCACCAGCTCCTGCAGGGCTCTGCGTCTTGAAGCAGCCGTGTGTCCCAGTGATCTCATCAGCCAGCACCCTCTTCACGAGCATACGGTTGTTTCTAATACATGCTGTACAGACACTGTCACAATGAAAAGCCTTAAGCCGACTTATCAGAAAATTCTTACAAGTAGACTTGTCGGGGCCAAGATAACGTGGATTATTTCTGATATTGCCAAATTCCCTCCAGAGATTCTTATTCTCAGTTTCCCATCTGCCTTGGGCGAGCCAGCCTGCTTACCCAGCAAGCCAGTGCACCTTCGTCAAACTGACAGGTGATAGATTCTCATAGTTTTAATATGCACTTGCGTTTTAAAGTTTGTTCAAGTTCAAAGTTTTTTCTTTTCTGTGAACCTAAGTGGCTTGCCCACTTTCTATTGAATTCTTTTTTTACAGATTTATTGGAGCTCTTTGAACAGGAAAGAAATTGGCCCCTTCCACGTGGCCTCTCCCGTCGTGGAGCACAGGCTCCGGACGCGCAGGGTCAGTGGCCATGGCTCACGGGCCCAGCCGCTCCGCAGCATGTGGGATCTTCCTGGACCGGGGCACGAGCCCGTGTCCCCTGCATCGGCAGGCGGACTCTCAACCACTGTGCCACCAGGGAAGCCCCTGCCCCTTGCATTTTTGACTTCAAATGTTTTCTTCTAATACATTTGTGGCCTAACCTGTCACAATGAAAACTTTCATCTGGGATTTACTGTGGTGTAAGGAGCATCAGTGACATCTTACTTTGCCCAGGTGGTTACCCACTGCCCCACACTCCGTCCCCAGTCCTGGGGCGGACCTGGCAATCTGCATTTTCAGACGCTCCCCAAGTGATTCAAATGCAGGGGCTTGGAAACCACTTCCTTTACCTTGAACCAGTAGCCCCTCCCATGCGGGCCTGCGTGGAGACTCCAACACCCTCAGGAGGAAGTCACCCACAGCCTTGGTGGAGGCCAGAGCTACATTCACTTCAAATCAAGGTCTAGAAATGTCATTTCTATGAATGACCAGACAGTACCATCTGTAATGGACATACTAAGTGCACACTGCAAGCTAGAACTTGAGGGTCCTGGAGGACAGTGTTGACCGACACACACCCAGCCGTCTGAGATCTCCATCCTTTTGCCAAACTCGCCCACACCCAGGTGTAGGGGCCACGGGAGGTCATTTGGCCCAGCCCAGGCCGTGTCACCATACAGGCTCCCAGGGCTCACAAGTTGCTTCACCAAGCTGCCATGAGCCAGGTTCAGAGGCTGTTGTATGGGCGCCATGGGACTACCTGGGGCTACTTCTGTCCCCACCAGCACTGGCCAGTTGGCTGGACTGCACTTTTACCTAACAGGCTGCGAGAAGAGCAGTTCCCAAGCCCTCAGTACTGCATACTTTTTGAGTGGAAAACCTCTCCTCTTTTCAATCCAAGCTCAGTGCTGTCACTAGGGCATCTTGTTACTCCTCACTTCTGAAGGTAGAAAATCTAATTTCTCAAAGTCTTAGGCATGGCATCTAGCTTGCATTTCTTGGCACTTAATCCATACAGAACACCAATTCCTTTATTTTGAACATTAGCAGCGGGCAGACTGAGGACCCAGAAAAGGATGTGCTCACAGGAAGTTGGACAGACAGTCCACTTGTGTTCTTTCCTCTATTCTGCCCAGACTCCAGTCAGACCTATTTTCTCTGTGGCTCCTAAGAAGTCTTATTCAGGGGTCTGGCTAACCAGCCGAGATGTGACGTCAGCGATCACAGCAATGTGCTGTGTCCAGGTGGAACTCAGGTCTCGGGGGAAGGTGGCTTTTTAGAAACGCAAGTCACTCCCCTCAACTCCTTGGTAAAGGTACCAACAGCATCAGCAGAAGCGCTTAATGTAGTCCCTGAGATGCAAGAAGCTGCAGCATTCCCATCTGTACCACATGCTGTCTCCCTGTGTCCCTCTAACGAAGCTGGTGAGACACTCAGTGCCGTCTGCAGTGTCTGGTACAGACCAGTGGCAGTTACTAAGGTGACACCTGGCTTTTACGTGGCCTTCCTTTCCTCCCTCCTCCCTGTGCTACAGCAGGAATTCACAATTCCCATTTTGGAAATTTAGTATGAGAGCCTGCCAACCTCCTCTGAGGACTGGGGGTACAAGTTGAGTAAGAGAATATAAAAGGCCAAGGTCGGAAGGTAAAGCTCTACAACACGTGTAACAACTACCAAAAGCTGTGCTACATTCCCAACTAGTTGTAACTATGCAACTAGTGAAGTCAAGACGGGGAGGGCCTGTGTCTAGCCTCTGGAGGCAGGGTGCAGGGGGCCTGGGCACTGGCCCTGCTCGCCGCAGGCCGGCTAGTTAACAAGGGGCCCTGGGCACTCCAGGCTCACAGTCGCATCCAGGGTGGACTGAGCCGTTAACAGAAGAGACTGCCCACTGTCTCGCCCCTCCTTTTCCTTCCACCGCACATGGGGCTAGACCCACTCACTATTCTGAGAATCCAAAGCAAACTTCCGACAGGACTTGTGGACTTGAAATAAAAATGTCAGGCAGGGAAAAGGCATTCCGTGGATCTTCAAAATATTGAAAACCTTTCAACTCCTTAGTCCTCTGGGGCAATTTTCTCAGCCTATGGGAGAAGCATCAATTTCCCACCTGTAAACCACACGCAAGGTGAACCATCTGGAATGGACACGCCGTAGACATTTCCCAGTGCCTATACTTTACTTCAAACAGGTCACAGCACTGAGCTTCTGGCCCTTTCTGCCAATGCACAAGCTACAAACGCTTGCTCAGCAGCTGAGGGGCACGCTTTAGTAGCATGTTTGAAAAGTGAATAAAAATCCATATAAAACAAATATTCAAATAGTTTCCATAGGAACACAGATAAGTGTGACCCCATCGCCTAGTCTTCCACGTTGCTGCATCTGTGCCAACCCTATTCACATAGACATCTCAAAACTAGCAGTAATTAAGTTAAGTGGTCCCCCCCAAACCCTTAAATCAAGCTAAACTCGCAGTTAACAGCTACAAGAATGGTATCTACACATTAATACGAGCTGAAGCACAGGCTGCTGGGTGCCGTTTCATTCCACTCTCCCAAGCACAGGACACAGGCAGGGTGCCGATGTCCTGCTCCTCTACGCCGGGGGGGAAGTCGTGGTTCTGGATTTGCTGCATCAGTTGCCTGAAAGAGACAGAGTGGCACGCTCAGAAACCCTGAGTCACCCCTCACTGAGCAATTCCACACCGAGAAACTGAGAATAACTTATTCATGAGCCTATTTATGTCCTTGGTTACTATGTCATCAGGAAGCAATTCAACGTAGCTCTACAGCAAGCATTTCTTCAGAACCATCTTTATGGTAACGAGGAAAGCACAAGTCACAGACACTAATTAAAATATTCTAGCTGCAGAGAAATATCCTGATCAATCTTTTCTAAAATGATTATGCCTTAAAAATCTGAAAATACAGATCACTATTATTGAAGGGATTTTCCTTCCATTGTATTTTCCAAAATTTCTAAAGCATACATTAATATGGAGAGAAAAACAATTTAAAAAAATGTTACTGGGGCTTCCCTGGTGGCTCAGTGGTTGAGAGTCCACCTGCCGATGCAGGGGACACGGGTTCGTGCCCCGGTCTGGGAAGATCCCACATGCCGCGGAGCGGCTGAGCCCGTGAGCCATGGCCGCTGAGCCTGCGCGTCCGGAGCCTGTGCTCCGCAACGGGAGAGGCCACAACAGTGAGAGACCCGTGTACCGCAAAAAAAAAAAAAAAAAAAAAAAAAAAAAAGTTACTATTTAACCCTAAGTAAAGCAATTTCTTATTCGACAAGAGCAAGCATAACAAATCCTGGAAGGTTTTATTTTCTTACAGGAAACATAAACACACACACTGTTGTCACTAACCATGTTGGCCCTGACATCACATAGTAGATGGTTGGTCTCTGGAATCCATTGAAAGTAGAAGCAGCAGCGACAGTGTAAGCACCCATGTTTTCAAAGAGCATCCAATCGCCCACATGCATCTCGGGCAAGTTACAGCGCTCAACAATGCGATCCAGGCCATCACAGGTCGGTCCCCAGATGCTGGACGAATAATACTTCTCATCTGGTTTGGGTCTCTACATTTGAGAGAGAGAAAAACACGCCTGCTTACACTTGTTCCGACCAATCCTCTTAACTGCTGTCTACAGCGTGTTCACAAGGTACCTTCTGCAGAAGAGGCTTCACGTGCGCGTGATCGTAGAGGATGCAGTTGAAAGATCCATACACTCCATCGTTCACGTAATACATAAACGTCTGTTCACTTGACTCATCTTCATCTAGAAAAGCACAATTAGTCTCAATTACCACTTCATGTACCAACTTTGTTGTACACGCGATGAATCATCCTTTGTACGTACCATCAGAGCCTGTCTGTTCCTTTAATACGCGTTTTTTGGCAATGATATTAACTGCTAGTGTGAAAGCTGATGCAACATAGTATCTGCCTGGCTCAGCTATGATCCTAACTCCAGAGTCCGATGGAAAATACTTGTCCAACGCCGGGTTGATTACACTGGTAATCTACCAGAGTGAGATAGAAAAGAGCAGTTAGTCATCAAGGGGAACTTACACGGACCAGTACCTTATGACATGACACATCAAAAGCACTGAGAGCAGTCATCAGCAGAGAGGTTTACCCTCAAACAACAGCAAAAGATAAACATTTCCCTGAAAACCAGCCTGTACATTCCTGTGGTTTCATTTTGATTCCCCTCCAGACACCCTTTCTACTCTAAGATGTTATGGATATGATTTTATTAAACAATGATACAAATTTATTACCACTTACAAAGTGCCTAAATGTTTTTATCTAGCAAATACATGCCAACAGAACAAAACTTTCTATTCTGCCTATGCACATAATTTTAACAAAAAAGAATACGGATTTATTTTATAAATGAGTAGCATATAATGGCCTAACTTCTTCTAGTTCCGTGACCAGGGATTGAACCCGGGCCCCCTGCATTGGGAGCTCGGAGTCTTAGCCACTGCGCCACCAGGGAAGTCCCTTAAGTACCATTTTAAATAGCACAGAAGTCATTCAAATTACCACACCAAGACATTTATTTTCACGTTTGTATAGTCCCTTTACTATCTGTTAAAACTAGTTAAGTTTTGAAATATTCCAAAAAAGAACTTGCTAAGAGCTACAGATTATAGTTTTGTTATAAATTACCTCTTCAAATTTAAGCTTTACATCCTCAGATCCGGGAAAGCCACCACCGATATCAAGCAGATACATGTTGAAACCAACCTCAGCCTGGAGTCAAGAAAGTGAATTCAATCAAATTAGGTCAACCAAGTAGCCAGATTCCTAACACGGCGTGACAAATGCACGCAGCAGATGGGGTTAAATGTCTGTAATATGAGATGACCTCTACAAAAGGTCAGTTCTGGAATCGGGACTAGTTATTACTGTCATCCTTGCCCCCCCTCCTCCCACTTGGGGTTCACATATACTCACTCCCATGTCAAAGACACAGCGGGCATCAGAGATGGCCTGCACGAAGGTCTCCGGATCAGTACAACCACTTCCCACATGGAAGCTGGGGCAAAAAAAGTAGAATATGCTATTTCTTACTATTTCTGGAAATAACTATTCACAGTGGGAGAAAACCTATAAAACTTGCATTGTCTAATCTTAATCTCTACCTCTGCCATCACCAAGATCTCACCTGACACCAATGACATCAATATCCAGCTCTTTCGCCCGTTCCAAAAGAAGCCTGCTGGTTTTGAGTGTGGCACCAAATTTGACACTGAGGCGACAGACTGCTTTGGAATCATCAGTGGCAATCCGCAAAACCAACCTAGAGGCAAGAAAAGTGTATCAAGTTTCCCATAACAGAAGATCACCTACAGCCATGGTTAAGACAGAGACTCCTGGGCTCTGATACCCTGTGGTTTAAGTCTAATTTGGTTTTATTAATCAAGAGGCTTTAAGGTTTTTTCTACTTTGTCTCTGACCCAGTACACAGATAATTTACTAAAGTATGGAAATCTAACAACTGGAAATTTGAGTTTGTCTGCCATTATTATACAGATGCCACATCTGACCCTGCCCTCAAATGGAGGAGTAACTTACTTGGCCTTTGGATGTGCCCTGGCAACTTTCATCAACTCAACTTCACTATCAAAAGTCATCATCTGGACTCCATTATTGGCAGCGTATTTAATCTGAGACACTTGTTTACAAGGATTTGCATAGATAATCCTCTCTGGAGGCACCCCGAGACTCTGCACCAACTGGATTTCAGTCTGAAAAAGAAGAGGTGTTACAATACATGTAGCTAATACATGGAAGAAACAGAAAAACGTGGGAAGTTGTCACCACCCCCACTCAATTCATTAGCATCTCCTGCCCAAGCAACGCAGTTTTGATCTGCCCTGCGGGAACACCGAGGCCATGACAATCCTGTGAGTTCTGCGGCTTTTGCTCACCTTGCTGGCACAGTCAAATCCTGTCCCTATGGCAGCTAGGGTCTTCACTATGGTTCTGCTATCATTGCATTTGACTGCATAAAAGGGGGTGACCCGAGGAAGAGCTTTAAACCATCTCAGATGTTTCTTCAGGATGTCTCCCAGGTCCGCAACATAGAAGGCATCCTTATCGTCCTGCAGTGACAGTGGTTACAGGAAACCCATCAGCGGCCTAACAATGTGTCCAACACGCAGGCTTCCCTTCCCTTGCCCGTCATTCTCATGAATCCTACTCTATTTAGTCAATTCCTGGCATGAATATCATTTTTATTGCACGATCTGTAGCCAATTAAATTCTAAATTCCCTAATAAGACATTTCCATTTCCGCAAGACCCCACTGAAGCTTCCCATCCAACCCAACATTCTCAAAGCTGCACTCCCAGCAAGGACTTAACATACACTTACAGAAGAAGAAACTTCATTAATTTTTTGGTCCAGAATGTCCTTGGCAGTAAAGCCTTCATCCAGGAAATGGCAGTCAAACTCTTCATTACTAAAGTTGTTCATGGTTCCTTGATATCTTTCTGAAACAACAAACTGCAGACAGGGCAGACGATTTACTCAGAAGTCTTAGCAATACTTAGTAACTCCTAATGAGATAAGCCTGCAACAACCATGAATACTTACAAGGGAAACTAAGAGATGAAATTTAAAGAAATTATGCCAGCTTTTCACAAAGGCAATTCTCTAGGAATTCCAAGTCCCACTGAAAGATGTGCGTGCCCTTGCTGCAGCAGTGAAAATGTCCTGACAAACGCACAATCTGCTGTCCACCTTCGGAACACATTAAATTGGAAGATCAGTTACTGGCAGCACACACAAGAAGCAGGACTACTCAAGCACCCTCCACAGACACCTCACTCACTGGGTTTGGGAATCCCATTATTCCTAGGTTTAGGTCACGTGACTCCATAAACCTCAATGGAATGAGGACACCACAGATACAACGCTAGAGTTTTTCACACTGAACTTCCGTATATAGTACTGTCCACCTCAAAAAAAGCATTTCAAATATCCCTGCTAAAAACTGCTGAATGCAGGTTTCAGAAGCTTTCCTGCACTTAGTTCACTGATAGGGATAAAGTTTCATGACAGTTAGCTTACTTTATTTCGGATCTGTTTCTCTTTAGAAGCTTAAAATAGCATGACAGCAATTTTTCAAAGTTGCTGTATAAACACCTTGCTATTTCCTAAGTCTTATACAGAACAACTTTTAGTGACTAACAGGCATCATTGCTCTCAACTTAACTGAGTGCTCTTAAGTTTCCTGAGAATTTTATGAGCTAATTTTCACGCTAGGCATGTGTTTTTTAAAACTGCAATCTTCAAATCAACATAATGTATTACAGTTGCTGTAGCGGATCAGAAATCAGTATTCTTAAACCAGCACTGCCTACTAAATCAGCAACTCTGGGAACCTCAACTGTCCTTACAGGCGCTCTAATACCTGCTTAGCTATGAAGGATCATCACCTGGGAATAAGTTTTGACTAACTATGAATAACAAAAATAAGCCAACAATAATTTATGAATAAGCAAAAATAAAGCTCATTTAACAATCAGAGCCACTGTCCTTGGCCTTCATGAAATACGACACTGGTCAATGACAGTTGTCTTAAAATTACTGATTTTAACTTATTTAATTTCTGCCAGGGAGGGCTTCTTTTCCACTGTGCAACCCGCTTCAGTGCCTGCAGCCTACGGGCAGAGGCCAGGCAATGGTTCTGGGCCAGTTTGCTCTGGCATGGGACACTATGAGAGGCCCAGGGGGACGGGCCTGCCATAAATCCAAACCCATGCACGGCAGAACTTGCAAGGCTTGATCTAATGTGACTTGCTGGCATTGTCAACCACCTACATTGCCTAAATCGCGCGTAGGGGAAGGGAAGAGACTAACTGCCGGCAAACCCATTCTGTCTATATAACAACATTTAAATACGATCACCGGTGACAGATTGGGCTATTTAGAGTCTTGTTAAACATTTTTAAGGCAATGTTCAGGCTTAAGCTTAGGACGTTTTTGTTTCTCTGAAATACACCCCTACTAAGTATTTTGCTTTCTTGTATCTTTCAAAGCTTTATCTCAATAACTTTTTTTTTTTTCTTCGCGGCACGCGGGCCTCTCACTGTTGTGGCCTCTCCCGTTGCGGAGCACAGGCTCCGGACGCGCAGGCTCAGCGGCCATGGCTCACGGGCCCAACCGCTCCGCGGCACGTGGGATCTTCCCGGACCGGGGCACGAACCCGTGTCCCCTGCATCGGCAGGCAGACTCCCAACCACTGCGCTACCAGGGAAGCCCTATCTCAATAACTTTTGATATAGAAACATTTCACCCAAGAACACCTCTCGGTGTTCTTTCTGTATAGCTAAGTTACTTAAAATGACTCGGACTAGCGCGAGACAGCGCCTCTCTGCTATGAAATGCTTTACTGCAAACTGGGTAACGTTAGAAAAGACAGGTACTAATTCAAACAGCAACTGAAAAATTTACAAGTGAACGAAATTACGCCCTATTTTAGGTTTGAATGAAGTCAACACATTCTTTGTTCTCCCTAGACATTTCTAAGAGGTTCTACTCCCCACTTTCCCCCATTATTTCGCATTTTCAAACACAGGTGGCCTTTTTGGGAAGGTCTTGGGACTGGCTCCTATGCCGAAGCCTGAACTGGGATCTTAATATTATAGGTTTTCCTTGACTCACCGAGTCATTCAAAGATCCCGTAACAACTCTAAGCCACGGCCGGCTGACTATTACCAGTTGTTACTACGAGGTTATCTCATCTCAGCTCTAGCGACCCGAGTGGGTTTCTATACTGGGTCATTCGCTCTGTACACACAGCACAAATAAAAGCTAAAGTGAAAAAGAAAAAAGTAAATCCCAGGGCAATACGGCGGAATGGCACGTCTCTTCCTTCTAGAAATGAGTGCGAGCGATGGGAGCCCGGAGACCTGCGCCGGCTCGCCTCCTACCTCTCCTGCACCTGCTACCGGACTGCCACATGGGTTTAAAAAAAAACACAGCAGTTGAAGGAACGACCGACCCTTTTCAACAGCTTCCGGCTCAGAAACCCTCACTGACGTGGTTCGGAGGAGGTGAACCCCGGGCCGTTCCAGCCCAGGCTGCCCTGAGCCGGGAGGGCGGCCGCCGTGCGCGCCGGCGGCCGGCTTCACCGGGGACGCCAGGGCCGGGGGCGCAGCGGCTCACCGAGGTCAGGGGCCGGCGGCCGGCTCTGCGACCACGTGTCCTCGCAGCTCCACGGCGCGGGAGCTGCTCCGGCCTCAGGCCGGGCCCGGGCGCAGGGACACGTGGCCGTCACCCCCGCTCCCCCGGCCTTCCAACCGCCCGGACGCGCCCCTCTCACCTTAGAGCGCACGGGCGCCGCGGGCAGACCCCATGGAGACCAGACGCCGCCGCCGAGCGCGCAGGGCCGCCGGCCGCCCCGCCGCTGTCCCCGCCGCCCCCGTCAGCCGCCCGCCCGGCCGCCCGCCACCTCACTCCCTCCCGCGGAGAACCGCCGGCCCGAGGTGGTGCCGGAGCGCTGGCAGAGGGACAGCGGCGGCGGCGGAGGCTGAAGAAGACTGAGGGGACTGACAAAGCCCGACTCGCCGCAGCTCCGCTACTTATAGCGCCGCGCGTGTCGTCATGGAAACGCACCAGCTCAAACCAGCCGCGATCGGTTCCGTCCGGGCGTCCTCCCAGGGAGGGGGCGGGGCGCGGCGCGGCGGCGGCCAACCCTGAGCCGGGCGGAGGGGCGGGGGGCGCGGGCGGTTCGACGTCAGCGCATCCGAGCGGCTCCCGCCCCTCCCGGGCCAGCTGCAGGCCCGCGCAGGCGCACACGCCGCGGGCCCTGGGCTCCAATAGCGCACCCTCAGGCGCCTGCGCCTGGCGCTCCGCCTGGGGCCAAGAGCCGCAGCCGAAGAATTGCGAAACCAGCCTCCGACCGCCGCCAAATTTCAGCTCCTGCGCCAAACAGCACTGTTCTTCCACCTGGCATTAAATGCCTCGTGCCCTCGGGCGGAGAAAGGAAATCGCGGGCGCGAGCGGGCCACGTGGACCCCACCTGGCACACTCTGGCTCCTTCTGCCCGGCGTCTCCATTCCTATGGGAGGAACCTGGAAGCGATTCTGGCGCAGTCCCATCCCACGAAGAAGGGGGCAGAGACGCAGAAGGGAGAAATGTCACCTGGCAAGTTAGCGGCACAGCTGGGGGCAGCTCCCGAGCCACTGCGCCTGTAAACCGTGTCTAACATATCCAGGTGTCTTCCAACTAGGTGGCAGACAGCAGTGGACAAGCGAAGATACACGTTACGCTTACTAAGCCGAAGACTCGTCTCAGGGCATTAGGGGAAGGGGTAGGAATTAACAGGTCTGCAAGCCACCGAGCGATCCACTGCCCTTAGTTGTATTGGGTGGCACTCATCAAAGACTTCTTTAAGGGCAGCAGCGATTGGCACGCTTTGGGAGAGTTGAGTCCCAACACCACCAGTGTCTACTCAAGAAATACATATGGCAAAACCTGTCATCAATTGGGAGTCCCCAGGAGTGCAGCCAAGGCTCTGATGGAGAACTGGCCTTTCCAGGGTGCAGGCCACCCCCGCCCCCCACTGCCGGCCCCAGGGAGGGATTTGGGGCACTTTTTGCCCCTTGCATTTTTACCGTTCCTTCCTTTGTAGACAAAATCCAACAGGTGATTATGTCCCAACCTAGGGTGTGACCGGCCTGAGGGCTGCGGGTGGGAGTAAAAATATTTGAAACTAGCCCCAGGCAGGGACCCTGGAAGAGCTCAAGACTGTAGCCCACCTTGGCCCCAACTTGCTGTGTGATCTTGGGTAAGGTACCTCCCTTCTCTGGGCCTCAGAAGAAGGCTGGACTAGAAGACCCAAGGATCTTTACAGCTACAAAAACCTTCTTTGTGAGGAGTGAGTGGTTGTTTGATGAATGCAGGAATGAATGAGTATCTAACTCTCCCTGGACCATGCATGGCTTCCACAGAATCAAGAAAAGGGAAGACAGCAGTAAACAGTAACGAGTGTTCCTATGTGAAGGGATATGACAGGCAGAGCTCCCTTTTCTCTTGGCCACCCTGATCAACCTTATTTTTACATAGTCCTTGAGTAACCACTGGGTACCAGTGAGAGAGAGGGAGAGGGGAGTTATCCCCATCTCAGCAATTTTAATTCCTAGGAGGGAATGAGATTAATAATGAAATTAACAATCCCATCAGAGACCATTACAATCCCAGGCACTAAGTGGGACAGCTTTGGTTTCATGGTGAACACTGGTATTTATCCCCGCTCTGAGAAGAAACATTTTGTTCCAGTGACACGCAGATTTTTCCTCAAACTCCGGAAGTCTCCCATGTCCAGAGCTGGGGCCAAGAGGGGAGCATTGTCTGCACTGCCCAGCTCTCCGAGGCACATCAATCAACCAGTCCTTGCGTGGCAAACACTATCCCCACTATTCGGCTTCCTCCCAGCAGAGGGAACCGGATGTCTCAGCGTGTGGGATCCTAGTAGGCGCCCGGTGTGGAGGGAAGGATAGCCAGCCCCCCGTCCTGCCGGCAGCTTGCCTTGTGTGACCTTGACCATCTCCTTGACCCCCTGTGAGCCTCTCTCCAGCCATCAAGGGAAGAGTTCGGGCCTGATCTAGAGTCCCTTTCAGCTCAGTTCTGTGACCGAATTTTAGAATTAGAAGTATTAGCTGGAACCCAGAGGCAAGTTCTTGATTCAGGAAGCCAGGTGATCTGTCCCTCTGCTGCTCACATGTGCTACTCACATGTGGTCACCTCTACACACTGCCTCTCCTGCTAGCCCACCCCAAACTGCCCATGTGCTGCACTTTCCCCTGGGGAGGCCTGGCCTTGCCCGGATGACCCATCTTGACCCAGATGGGGAAACAGAAGCAAGGGAAGGAGGAAGTGCGGCTTCCCTGAGAACTGGCCCTCCTGGCTGCAGACAGACTCTTAGAGTTTGGCCTTGGGTCTGGGAGTCAGCAGGCCTGAGTCATTAAACCCAGTTACCAATCTGGATCTGAAAAGATAAACCTACAGTGACTAAACCTGGCTTTGTTCAGATGAATGGCATTCATGTCTTTCTGTATATTTTCAGTAGAGTTTATCTTCTCCCTTACTTTTTCTTTTTTCCTTAGAGAAAAGCAGCAGATCCTTGAAAACGATGTGTAGTCCAACATCTAGAAGTTACCCTTACATGGAGATGAGGTTTTTGTGTTTGGTGCAGAAGCAGTAACTTAGGGAAGTGAACAAAAACATCTAAAACCACGTCGGACATGCCAATAAGTTCTGTACCCTTAGTCATCCCACCTAAGTGCTGGGACCACCTCTAATTTTTTTAGCTACCCTCAGGACCTAGCTCCTCCCTGGGTATCACTTCTGCTCTCTGGATCTCAAGCTCTTTCTGTAAAATGCACCCTGGCTGGACTGGACTGAATGAAAACTCAGGCTCTTGCACTCTGGTGTTCTAAGAATCTCTGACTTCTTTTACAAAGAGCTCTGTATGAATCTGCAAATCACATTTTCTGAACCAAAAGTGAGGACATGTCTGGCACAGAAGGTATCTTTTCTTAACTTACTTACCCGAAAGGGCTTATAAAGGTATATGATAATTAAAACTTTAAGGAGTCACCTTTACTGAGAAGAAGTAACATAAGAGACAATGGTCAGCAAGAATTTATGTGTCCATGTCCTCAGTAAAGGAAGAGTCAACATTCCAGTAAAAATTGAGAACTTTCTGGAAAATGGGTTTGTGTTCTGTCCACACGTTGTGGTCATATATATTCTGCATCCAATTTCTTCCCAGAAGTGTAGTAAGAGTTGACTCTGGAGTGAGGCTCATGACATCCAGCCACAGGAGGACTTTGGGGGGTTAGGACCTGTCCTGCAAGGGTGCCACAACTTAGGGAAGTAGGAATCAGTCACGGGACACTGCTAGTCACATGTGGATGCTGGACCAAAAATAATGTTTGGAAGCTCAGTTACTCACTGATACTCCAGGCTTGCTCTTAAATTGTTTTAGGTGTTTCCCAAAATCCTATCCACCCTATGAGGCAGAAAGTGTACCATCTTTGCCAATATCCAAGGGATGTGCTCTGGGCACAGGGAACTTCCGTGGAGGCCCTCCTTGCTCTGAGCAACACAGGTGTCATCAGAGAAGTAGAGCATCTCCAAAAGTACCTGTTGGAAGAGCCAAAGACACCAGTGTCGGTGGAAGTCCCGGGATGTTTGTATTATGAAGTGCTTGCATCACCGCCCCACCCGGCCTCCGCCCTGCTGTGGCTCCCTGGGAGTTGTTGGGGCAAAGGCCATCTGGCAGGAAGTGGGCCAGGCCTCTGGGAGCCCAGCAAGGCCCTGCGGCACGTCAGTGGCCACACAGTACATTGCAGAGAAGAGGTGGCCTCTGTCCAGAGGTTGAGAAGCAGTAGCTCACTTGCCTGGCGCATTGATTTTAGCGATGCTTTGCTTCCCACAGCCTGCCTTTTCAGTGGACTGAAGACAGAGTCCCAGGAAGCGTGTGCCCAGGCCAGCTTCAGACATGCCACCTTCCTAACACGTGGGCTGACCGCAGGACAGAAGGTTTCAGATCTGACCACTTGTTTAGTTAAAGCCCTTTGCTGGTGGCCCTTGGTCCACAGGGTAAAGTCCAAATGCCTCAGCCTAGCACCCAGGAGCCTCCGAGGTCTGCTCTGCTCACCTTCCCAGCCTCACCCATCTCCTGCCACTCTAGCCACCTGACACCACTCTGCTCTGCAGGCCCCACATGCCTGACATCACAGCATGGGTCACACCGTGCGGGCACCTTGGGCCTCCCCCACTCCCACTCCCTTTGAAGTTAGGACTATGATTTACTGGTCTTCATAAGTGTCTAGCCGAGTACCTGGTACACAGAAGTCGCTCAATCTTGTTAAATTGAAACTGGGGCTGTCCTGAGAAATCTGATTTGTATTTGCTACATGACTGATTAACTTGTGGGAATTTCTCCCCATGTGCTATCTAAAATTTGGGGGATAAAAGATTTGGAATATTTTCCTTTGGTCGTTTATTCATTCATTCATGCAATACATGTTCATATTGAGTGTCTGCTACATGCAAGTGATGTGCTGGGCAAGGGAGGAACCCCCCCTTTGTATGCAGCTGGGGGCTGGGTTGTTGGGGACCAGTGAGGAGCTGACGGGGGCCCAGTGAAACCTGACCTTCTCCCCAGCGCTAAAAGAGAACTGTTTCTTAAGCTCCTGGTGACTCCCTCTGCCCCGACATGCTGCAGCACCTCTGCTAGGCTTTGCCACGGCCCCATTTTTGCCGGGGGCCCACCCTAGTGGGGCCCCACCTCTGGGAATCCCCAGGGCCTGCAAGACTTCTCTCCTTGGCAGGGAACAGCATGTGGAGGGCCCTTGCACAACCCAGACCTTCTGGAACGTGCTCTTCCCAGGAGTGGTGTTAGCATCACTTTCCTGCCAAGTCAGAGCTGAGTTCCAAACGGCCCGCGGCATCATGGCGGACTGAGCCGCAGGGGCCCCTGGACACAAGGCAGCCGT